TTGGGAAACAGATTTTGTGGTTTCATCTTAATCTTCGACTGTGTTGAAGCTTGAGCTTGTTCAATCCCACCCTCAGATCCGCAAGGTTTTGGCGAGCTGGGCGAGTCTGGATGCTGCCGACAGGGAAAGCATCACCGAAGCTTCAGCGCAAGTTGACCCTCCCTAACCGTACACGCCATGCTTGGGCAAGTAGATAAGTAGTTGATAGTCGCCTAGTTCGGTAGGAGGTCGCCTTGGTAGAAGCCAGGGTCTCATGATTCGGTAAGTGAAAGCGGTAGGGAAATTCCGGTTTTAGTCTACGGATCCTCTGCATCGTTCAAGCCGGGAGAAGCCATGCCAAGGAGTTCTTTCTCGCAGATGGCATCCACTACCATGCCTGCCTCTTCAGCTATCTCCCGGACTGCAGCTGGGCCCACAACTTGTCGGGGCTCCAGACTAGGAGAAGCCCGAATGGGAGCATTCCCGTGCTGCTGGGAGCCGGTCGAAGGACTCAAGACCTGCCGTGTCCACAGAAGCTATCATGCGGACTTCTTATCCTGCACAATTCTGGAGTATCTGATGTTCCCTGAGGCTTTGCCCATGCGCATAAGAGACCAGGCTGCAGCATTCTTGTCGTGGCGTCAAGTGCGCTTCTTTGCACGGAGTGCCGACTTCTGATTGCAGAGCACGCGGAGCGCAAGCGACTGTGAAGCCCGAGGAACACACGAGTGGGTCTGGACACTCTGCTGAAAGTCAGTGAGAGCTTGCTAAGTTGTGTCCTTGCACATGACCAAAAGCCACAGGTTCTGTTTCCTGAATGGCCTTCATCTTGTACCCCACACCGGTTCCCGGATTCTTTCCCGAAAGCTCCGTCACGGATGCCATGCGACCCAGGACTCGATGCTGATCCTTGGAGCTTTTCAGAGGGTCGACCCGTAGATATCTGCAGGTACTGCTGTACATCTGCATTCGCCTTCTAGAAAACGGAAGAACGTTATCTGAAGCCCAGGAGCCTCCGGTATGCCAACGCAAAAGCCGCTCCTCCAATCAAGGACTCTCCTCGTCGAGCTGGTAGAAATCACGTGGACCCAGCTGGCGGCTGCTCGGGCGTGTGCTACTAGGAGTTCAGGATTTTATAATCCTTGCGGTTCGTATTTCTGGTGCGTTCTTTTCCTCGGAACTTCCACCTTCCGCGTGGTAACAGAGTTAGACATGAGGCTTAAAGGGCAAGGTGGTATTCAGACTCCGAACAGATGGATTGCCGAGTTGGTGCAAACACTAGGGTCGCAGCCTGCATGAATTGATGCCGGAAGGGCCTCGCACGTTCCCATCATATATGCCAGAGAAGGTGGTGGATTCGGACTTCCTGACTTAGCTGCCCTGTGCAAAGCCTGCTCCTGCTCAGGTAAGCACGCTGCCGCATCAGGCGTCTTGTCTTCTTTCTAGTGCTGCTGTCGAGGACTGTTCAGAGGTTCTGTCCTGAATCGAACGGGAGCAAGAGGTAACGGTGAACCTTGCGGACCTTGCCTCGTTCACCATGGCTGTTCGCTCTCGCAGCGTGTTTTTCTCCTGCTACCCGGCTCGGAGTCAAAAGAAGGGATGGGGGAGAAGGTTAACTTGGAGAGGCAGAGCTTATGCACTGCGGATTGGTGTTTGGAGTTCAGCAGGAGGCTTCACACATCGTACAGAAGCTCCGCACACCTGAGGCTTGGAACATGCGAAGATCACGAACCTGGGCAACGGACACTACGTGACCCGCCCGCGAAGATGATGTCGTCGGATTCTGTACGGTAGCGGGGCCACAGAAGCTGATAAGGAAAGCCAGTCTCGATTGGAAGTTGTTTCCAGATGGAAATTTCGAACTCGTATTCTTGGTGCACCTCTTTTTAATGTAAATCGAAATACATGCAGAGAGTCACCACAATGTAGAGCGACACCCACAAGTTTTGGCAAAACACATTCTCTGAGAGAAGATGGGGTGCGATTTTGGAGCAGCTAGGCATTCAAAAACTCTTTAGCCCGACCTGAACATTCTGGTATTTCATAGCTGAAGCTCCAATACCCGACCCAGCCTGACCCACACAATTGAACTGCACGAAGCCCCGGAGACTGTTGGTATAAACCCACTGCAAGAAGAAACAGAGACCTCTCAGCGGCCCCGGACTCCCAGGCCCTGAACATGACCAGCAAGAATTGGTCCAGAACCGAGGTGGGACTTAGTGCTCCTGAAGTGCAAGAGGATGTCATTAATCATGGCATCCAAGATGGCTCCCAGATCATCCTTATCTTCAGCATTCTCGTAAGTCATAAGTGTCACAGCATGTCGTATTGTTCCTCATCGGCATGCAGGCAACGTTGGGAGGTTTCTTTGCTAATGTAGGTAGTCGCCCTTCCAGGAGGTGTCCAACCACGACCTGGGTGTGTCCAGGACCTTGAGGAAGCTGCTCGTCCAAACTCGGCACTCCCCAAACCCAAGCCCGAACAGGACTTTCAGAAGACTCCGAGTTCGTGCAACCTCGGGGTGATCTGGAGTTGTGCATCCTTCTGCGTGCAAGCCTGCAAGAGTTTCTTGATGACGTGATGTTTTGAGTTGAGCTTTAAGTTTAAGGCTCGTGCGGAACACTCGCATTGCAGCCACCTCCAGCCGGCCGCTTTCGCAGATGGCAATCTTGGACATTGAGCGTCCGGGTCCGAGTCGGGGTGAGACATGCTGCTGGTGGTGGTGGCGGAGCTTGTGTTGACGCAGTTGCCCTGGCCGTAACTGTAACTGCAGAAGTAGTGGTGGTGGCCAGTGCTGGGCAGCAGCAGAGTGTTCATAGTTGCCGGAGAGCAAAGAAGCCTTGGTCCAAGGCTGTTGACATCTCGCAGGTGCTGGCGGCGGCCTTGGCTTGTGGCGCGGCGTGTGCTTGTTCTAGTTACAGTTGCTTACATCGAGATGAAGCGCCAGAGGCCGAACCTAGACGAGTGAAACGGGAACCGTGAAATCGGCTGACAGTCAATCGACAAATATCTACCAATGCCGCCTATGCCATGGTGCACATGTGTCGTATTTGCTTAGCTGCTTGGGTATTCATCGATCGCAGTGAAATCCACTGACCGAACCAAGCCTTCAGCCTTGAGCCTTAAGGCCTGCCGTGAGACGTGACATGTCCAGCGACGCTTTTGCTTCGAAGAACCTGATGGTTCACAGCTGCCAGCTCCATAACCGCGCTCCCTTCTATTTTCGCCTTGTGCTTACATATTAATATGGAGCCAAAGCCAGGGTTCATTTTTTCTTTCAAACGTCGAGCCTTGCAGCTCGACTCCATCACGACGCTAGATGTCTGAGCACATAATCGTCCAGCGCCGAATGGTAGAGAGCCCCATGTCCTCATATACGATCGACCCAAAGGTTGTCAGTTTCAGGAGATTAACTTTCCGCAGCAGAGTTAGTTTCCGAGCGAGAAGCTGTCTGTGTTGCCCTGGGTTTTTTCCGGAGGAGAAACTACCTCCTTCAAGGAAAGTTAGTTTCGGAGTGAACAACAACCACATGCCTTAGATTGATATGGTTATATGCATGGATGTTCTGTGATACAATGATGCCTTGGTGGGCTGTTGATGTTGTGTAGCAGATAGGTCATCCGCAGTGATGGTTGTTGTGATAGTGACGCTGGTGGTGCTGATGGCAATGCGTGATAATGCAATTGCGGATTAGAAGCGCAACCAACGCTCCCCACTCAGCGATACCTTCCACTCACATAACGGTGCCTGGCGGCTGTGGGCGACTGGGGTCTGGTCTGCAGAAAGCCGACCAATCGCCAGTCTTGGCTTTGTGGTCGCTACTTTGGGGTACAGACGTCGTAGCAAGTCGGGGCACAGGTGAGGACACCACAGCTATATCTAGTTATACATCAGTTAAAGTGCAATCCTACTTACTGAGTCCCCTGATCCTCTAAGAACCCTGCGGCACGCCTTCGCTCTTCAATGTTGCCACCTGCAATCTTGAGTCAACAGGCTGGAGGTCTGAGCGATATGCTGCGGCAACTTGATGTTTCACTCCTACGGTTGTGGAGTAGCATATCAAACACCCTGGCAGAAACGCGAGAGACAACCGATCTCTCTCCCAGACCTCCGATTCCTGCGTTTGGTAGTTCGTGCTGCTTCTGGAGGGTCTAGAGCAGTGCAGAGAGGATTTCAGCTGGCCTGCCTTCGGACCGAGACAATCTCATAAAGAACCCTGTACCCTGGCATCCATCACAGCCCCACATCTTCGCAGGTCATGCAGGCTGCACGTCATCCTCCGAGTTTTCGGAGTACGCTCCATTCTTCTCAGCAGTTCCCGATCGGGAACCGGGCCCGACCTGGCAGGAGAAGCTCAGGGGGTTGCCTTTAAGGGGATGCACTATAGTATACAATAATATTTATGCTATACAATACTACAACAGATAATACTATAATGTACTCCAATAGTTATACTATACTATACTATACTACAATAGGATATACTATAGCATACTATAATAGTGATCCGGTTGCGAAAAGTTTGGGCCTGGAGCTCGCTCCTCCCGAACGAGGAGGCAGCAAAGAAGTTTCACCTTTGCATCTCTCTGCCCCTGAGAGGTTTGAGAACGCTGAAAATCCGAAACGAAGCTTAGGCAAATCCCTTCGATGACACGTTCGTAGGCTTTCCAATCTCTTCCTGACATTTTGCTTGTATCTCTCCCTCTCTCCCTCCCTCTTTGCTCCATCTCATATGTACCCATCCATCCGTCCACCCATCTCTTCATCCGTGTCTCTCTTCATGTTCTCCCTTCTGAGCATGAGCTCGGCCGGATGTACCAGTGCATGCCAGTGACAAGTACCTTTGTGAGAACGATCCTGGATTCTTTAAGCATGTGTAGTGTGATGCATTGAACCTTGGCCACCGCCATTGGTTTCGTGTATTGGGCAGTGCCTCGCATGTCGGAAGCGGCTTAGATGTGGAAAGGACGGGCAAAACACAAACTCCGGCAATTTTTCAATTCCGTCTATCGTCTTCCCAGGTGTTCTTGTACCTCGCTTTCAACCTGACAATGCTCCTCAGCAGCAAAGTACAGCCTTGTGCACGTTGCGCCAGCTGGCTTGTAGAATCGAGCGCAGATGTAGCTTTGATGAAGCAGAAGATCTTTAGGTTAATTATGCCATGGATGACCAGCATGCCAGGAACATCTTCGCTGTGCTGGTAATCAAGCATGGCTCAGCCGCCCTGCGGGGACCCGAGCGACCGAACGCTTCAAAGGGGCTGCAGCTTGTTCGGTCCCAATGCACAGTGACATGCAAGTCTTAGGGCTGAAGATCTCTGCCTTCATGGTGAATAGTGCAGCATCTGTGGACTTTGGCCGGAGCGGCTTAGGTCTTTCCTTGTCTCCACGCTGCGGATGCCGCTTTCAGCACTGGCCCGCCCGTCAGCAGGGTCCAGGAGTCCAGATGTTGAGGGTAAGTCCGGAGCCCTGCGGAGTGAGTGTGTGTGTGTGTGTGTGTGTGCGAGGGTGGATGGGCGGGTGGGTGGGTGGGTGTTGTGTTGGCTTGTCGGGCTGAGGCCGTTTCGGAGAAGATAGGCTTGGAGTCGGAGTGCCCTTTGAGGTGCAAGGTCTTGTAGAGCGTCCAGGAGCGATGTGTTTTAATGTCGAAAGGTCCATGTGACATGCTGGTTCCCTGAGGCTTTTGGATCTACTTTGATCATGGGTACGGCGCCTATGAGGGCCTACGTTGTGTGCACGGGTCCGTCATGAAACCATCAGTGGCACGCGATGAGTGAAGCCTTGCCGAGTCGTGATGCTGGTTGTTTCGAGTTTGTTTCGGCAAACAGACGAGGAAGCTGATGGAAGCTGGTTTCAGATTCTTGAGACAGTGCACAGTCAAGTACACGTTATGTGTCGTCTTGCGCCGCAGACGGTCCTCGGTAGTCTTTGCCCGAGGCAGTGAGGCCGTGACGCCGCAATTGCACGACCTTCTGAGCCTGGTGGTGATCTTGCTAGGCTGCCGTGACAGAGAGCCGTTCTGAAGATGTCAGGGTACGAATGCCTGCTGCGGGATGTGGACCTTGTGTGGGTGTGGAAAACACGCCCTGCGAAAGAGAGAGCGGGAGAGTTTGTTCTGAGCTGCCTGGAGCTTGTGAATGTTCATCCTCCTGGGAAATGAACAACAGCCTCGTGTGCATGCCGGGGAGAGGGTGGGGTCATCCGTCCGCACCTCCTCCAGCCATCGAAAATTGCAGGAGGGAAGAGGAAAAACGCGCTAGAACCAGAAGAGAGTAGAGAAGCAGAATTAGATGGGAAACCTGTGGGTGAGTCTTTGCTTCTCGGAGCTTACCGGCAGGCCTTTGTTCCTACCGCATGGGAGCTCGTCAGCTCAAGAGACAGCAGAAGCCTGGACCTCAAGTGCTCTGGACCTCGCCGTTACATGGGAGTTTCCGATTAAAGGGGACCCTAATGTAGTTCCCTAAATGCCCTAAATAGTAGGATCCTGAAAAGGACCCCAACAGAAGGTATCCCTAACTTTCGGAAACGCCGACATGGCCCGCCAGTCATGTCCTCCTCCAGCTCAAACCCCGCGACTCAGGGAAGAATCGGCCATGAGCCAGGACGTCGGGTTTCGTGTGCTCTCGTGGGTTCGACAGGGCTGGAGATTGGAGTCGATCATTGGAATTAGTGTGTATGATATCCCACAGGTGTCGATATTGCGCAGGTGTCGAACTACCGAGTTGGTGACACTTCAGTGCCATCTCTGAAGAAGCCATCACTGTGGTGGGTTCTGCTGAAATCCTATCGAGGAAACTCATAAGTCATGATACTAACTGAAGAGCGTTGTCTTTAGGCTTAAGGGCTAGTCATGTGTTGTGTCGCATGCTTGCCGTGTATATGCCATGGTATAAACCCCAAATCGTAGGATCCTCATTGTGGAGAAGCCCTTAGATATCCCTCTCCTGGCAAAGTGCAGCTTCCAGGAGCCGATCCCGAGCCCAACCTGTGCCAGCCCCTCGTCGCCAGGCGGTGCTTTCAGGTTAGGCTGAGGCCAACATGAGGACATACGAGTACGCAGCTTAAGGCTTAAGGTTCCTAGACTGAGGCATGGAAGTGTCCGGTTTGTAGCTCCGTTACCCATCGGCTTCACATATTGCGGACGGGTGGGAAAAACATCCATTGCGGACAGGCAGCACGCCGGGCTTCCCCGGCACTCGTCCCAGAGGCCTGCAGCTGTTGCAGAATGCGCTGCCCTTTAGTCTCTGAGACTCCCGATGGGAAATCTAACTTGCACCGCTCCGTGCGGTCATGTGCCTGTATTACATCTGTCGCATCTGGCTTTTGACCGACTTGTCGTCGAATCCGGAGGCAGCGAATGGAGGTTCATGCCTGTCTTTGCCACGGGCAGTATCAACAGTGGTCAACCACAGCAGGAGCCTCAGCATGTGGCTTGGAAGACGAAGCGCTGATGCCTTTGCGAAACTCGTCCAGTGGCTCAGGTTCGTGCTCGTCCATGCCCCGAAGCCGCAGGCATCCGAGCATATCCGGGCCCAGGGCTTGAGGCCGTTCCCCAGACCCCTGTGCGATGCAGGCGCGGTCGGCAGATGCGGTGCGGCGGACGCTGATCGGGTGCGCCTCCAGCCTCGTAGAACGCAGCAGACATGGTGCGATGCCTGCCAGTCCTGAAGCTGCAGGCGCCTTGGTGTTGGATCACCACTCCACTCGCCCCAGTTCAGGCGGCCACGGGGGACGCTGGGCTTTCTAGCTCATGCTTTGCTGCCGCAACCACTCAGAGAAGCACAGACACGGCCCCCACATAGGAGGAAAGCCAGGGGCCAAGCCTGAAGACCCGTGTTTTTCGGGCCGATGTGCTGAGAGCCAAGGCTCTAAAGTACCTGCGCCATCTCAGAAAAAAGCCCCCGAAGCAAAAAGCCGATGTCCTCCACCAGGGACCGTTTCTCACCTGGATCCTCGCCGGAGCATGCCGCAGTGCCGGAGACGAAGGGCTCGGGAAGTCTTGGGTACTTTTGGGTGCAGGCCTTGGGCGATTCACTGTCAACTGCTCTCAGATCTGAGGAGGGTTTTTGTCGGCTTCACCAGGAACAGCAGGAGGAGTAGTTGGAGTCGGAGTACCGAGTAGGAGTAGGAGTAGTAGGAGGAGGAAGTGGTTGGATGTGTCAGTATCATGGTAGCAAATGGCAGCACGGCGCTAGCAATATCTCTTGCCATGGCAACCATCTGGCAAGAGAAGGGCCGTGGTGATAGCGCGAGGAGTGCCACGACATGCACATGACGGGCCTGGAGCAATGAGAGTCCCGAGGACTCGACCCTCGGCAAGGGAGGTTGTGCGATTCGTGTTCAAACATCTTGGGAAATGCCTGTCAGTTATGTGCATGTAGGCTTTGCATTAGCATCATTAGCCATTAGCAGTGTTCGTGCAGCTGAGGACCTTCGAATTCACTTGTCTCAACCGAAGGCGATGGATTGATGTGACTGCAGATACTTTCAGGTGCGCGCCTGAGACTCCGCAGGTAGTCATGGGAAGCGAAATGCAGGGGGTAGCACCTTGGCAGCGACGCCTTGGTCACGAATCGCGAGCCAAGATGTAAATCGGGACAGTCGGCACTTTGAGCTTCAAGCGTTGCGCGCAGCAGATGTGAGAATCCAGCTGCCAAGGGCGCAACACGCCTACGACGCTGGCTCAGCAAAAAGACCTCACGCCCTCACCGGTCCAAGAATGGCTTAGTCGCAAGGTCGGTGGCATGAAAGCTTCATAGGATGGGTGGTGGGTTTATGAACATGGCTGAAACCTAGGCTAGTGCGGCTGTTCTCTTGGCGGGATCGGCAAGCACGTACCCATTGCTTGTACTGGTAGGCCGGTGGGGATCAACATGTCCGAAGGAACACTTTAGGACATCGGCTATCGCCCAGAGCAGTATCTCTGCAGCAGTCGAGAAGCGCAGACCTCTAGATACGTTGCATAGAAGCCATTCTAGCATGCAAGTGGTATCACACTGGTGTTGTGATGCGCTCGGTGTGCGTGTGTGTATGCGTGCCCCTAGACTCAGTTCACCCCCAAACCTCGCCTGCTATGTCGAGTGTGAGTGCTAAACAATGTGTGCCCCTAGCTCAGTGCAAATGTGCGGACAGACCCGAACATTTGAGCTGGTCTCAGCATGTGCAGGGTTGAGGATGTTGGGATGGCACGCAAATGTCGGACATAACTTTACGAGTTTGAGCTCTTGTGGCTAATTGCCGGTGTTGCACGCAGCCTACAAGGCTAGGCCATGCAAAAAGCACAGAGATCGGGAAGGCAGCTTCGGCAGTGCGGGCAGAGCAGCAGCAAGTAATGTCGTTAGTCATATACCTTCATTGAGAATCCTGTCAACTTGGCCTTTGGCCGTGTTACAAGTTGCTTCGTTTGTCTCATTGCTTGTTGCGATATAGACAGGATCCTGGCTACCCCATTGTGGGCTTCCTTCAGCCTCAAGCTGGAAATGCATCGATCGAACTCTCCTGCATGCTTCTTTTTACATCGAATTCCGCCTCCGGACGGAAGACAGCAGATGTCAGACGGAACGTGTTCATCTACCGAGTTACTGGCCAGTCTACTGCCCATGCTGCCAAGGCTCACTTTTCGAATCATTCTTGCAAAGGACATCCTGGAACGGCGACATCCCAGTACCCCCAAAACACGCAGGTCGGCAACGACAGAACAGAAATAGCCTCCAGCCATCGGTTCGTAGGGCTCTCTCTGCATCCCTGCTTGTTTGTCTCTCTTTCGCTGGGAGCTGTACTCAGAGGCGTCTTGTTGGCGCATGCTTGCTTGAATTGAACATAGGCCCAACGCGTGAGGCCGAAGTTTCGAATTGATGCAGCCTTGTCGAAACCTCCAAACCCTGATGAAGCGTCCCAAGGCATCTCTCATCCGAAAAGTCATAAGCTGTCCTGGGATGCTCCTTAAGTGGGTCGTCCTCTATGCTCGGGAATCTTCCAACAGCTGGCGGCACGGTTCTTACCCGCACCGAAAGCTTGTATGGCGGCTTGGTTGAAATCAAACTCATTAGACCCTGCAGTATGGAGCTATGTATCACATGTGTTGTCGTTTTTCTTGCGAATGAAAATCGTGCTCGGGATGCCGGCAATCCAGCCGATCATGATGTCGGTGAAACGGCCATGCCAAAGATGAGAGGGAGCAGATTGATGAGGATGCTGCTGCTCATGCTCGTTGGTCGTGATCATAACTTTGATGATCTTGATGCCCGTGTTCGTCTGCTGTGTAAGCGAGGATGATGATATTGTAATTTAAGATGATGGTCAGGGCAGTGATTGTGATTGAACCCGTGGTGGTAATTGGGTGGTGATGGTTGTTGACGATTGCCGTGGCATGGGTGGTGACATCATCCCGCAGTCGTTATATCTATCTATCTATCTATATATATATATATATATATATATAATATCTATACCTATGTATATAGTCATCGAACTTTTCATGATCGCCAACATCTGCAGCATCACCCTTTTGGCAATGACTTTGCTAATGATAGTTGCGAAAGTGCCGCAATTCGCAGTGGTGGTTACATTGCAGAAGAGAACTTCACGAAATCCGTCTCAAACCAGCGAGGCCCTGGTGTATACGCGATGTATCTCAGTACAGTGCGGGCTAGAACCGATTGCGGAGCACTCCAGCGTCAGTTAGAGGTAAAGATCCTCCTTGACGGCTTATAGTGATAAGACACGCTGGTGTTTGCTAGTAGAAGCAGAGTTTGTTTTTGGGCTGAGGGGGACCTCTACATGGCCGGGAAGAGAGGGGGGGCATGGAGTGCCCCAATGCTCCTCAAGTCTCCGGTTGGTGCACAGCAACAAGTTGTCAAGTGAGTCTAGTTCATCGCGGGATCCCTACTTTTGGCTGGAAGTTATGCTGCTGGTACTGTACCGATTCCAGCGCTTGTGAAAACGGGATGATATGGAAGCTTGGATGGTATGCATGAAGACGTCTTCATGCCACGCCCTGCAAGCTGAGTTTGGAAGTACGCACCAGCTGGAGAGTTGTGCTGCCAGCACAATTTCGATTGGCAAGCTTCCGATCCAGGTCGCCATCTTCTCTTTCTTAGCAACGTAAGATTCGGAACTGCGAGGCAGCAGTTTTTGTTGTCGGCAGGACCCAACACACAGGAGTCTCAAACAGGCTGAGGAGAGGGAAGCTTGCCAGAGCCGGACAACCCCCTGAATGCATTGTGACACCTTGGAAGCTTACGTGCCTCGATGCTCGAAAACCTCGGCGTCTGTGTGGCAAGCAAACTTTGCGAACTTGCCTTTCTAGAAGCTGGTCCGGAACTTTCAATTTCCCGGTGTGCCTGATTCGTCTACTACCGTGTCACTCATGCCGGTACCGTCAATCCGGCGCGTAAGAAGTTGCCACCAATAATCTCGCATTTGCCAGTTTCGAAAGCAAAGTTGTCACCAGGCGAAGTCTTGTGATATCCCTCTACAGTTTGTTCAGTTGGTGTGGATCCATACCAGTTTTCGGCCATGGCTGTTGAGCTTGCAATGTAGAGGACCAGAGTAGGGTCCTTTGGACATGCCCAAGATCGCCAAAGTGAATTGGAGGTCTGCAGCAGCTGGAGTCCGCCCCGAGCCATGGTCTTTGAAACTTAAGCTCCAGAGGTAAGTGTCCAGTCTTTGAGAGCCTTTTGTTGAGGGCTCAGAGGAAGGAGGACTCAAACTTACCGGCTGCTGCGACAGTGCTGAGAGAAGCCGACCTGGGCCAGAACTTGCAGTATGGTTTCTCAAGCCCAAGCCCTGCCTCTTCACAGCCCCGCAACCAGAGGAGCTTGAAGAGGTTAAGCCAGCCGCCGTCCATGAAGCATCTCATCAAAAGAAGCCTCAACCCTCAGTGCAATCAATAGCCATAGGGCCGTAGACGCAGAGCGTCGCTGCATGAGCTGTCCCAGTTCGAGCCGAAGCCCTTGTGCAACTGAGCGCTCGGCAACCATTTGTGATGCCGAAGCCTGTTGGCTGATTGCTGCCTCCGCAGATTGCTTGCTTGTCAGAGTGTCTCACCCGTCCGAGGGCAGCATGCGTGCACGTCGCAATCGAGATCCTGCGTCTGCAAGGGTGTTTGATTCGTAAATTCCACATCGATACAGTGCGGCGGTTCTGGTGGTTGTGGCGTGGCACGGTCGCCTTCACAGCTGAAGAAGCTCAACGTAATTAGCTGTAGCTCGGATACCCGGAGAATGTGTCTCGACCACCGCTACAGGCAGCCTCTACTGCATCCTCTGGGTATCGCCCTTATAAGGAGGGGCTGTTGGCCTAAACAATTGTTGCGCTAGTCCAAGCAGAAAGTCGCTGGTCTGGTCAGAGCCCAATCTGCCAGCCTGAGGCAAATGGAGGTATGGCTTGTGGTCCTTGCAGGTATGGCTTGTTGTCAAGTCTTCGGTCGGATCAGTCTACCGATACTTCTAGCAACCTTGCAGTCCGATTCCAGGGCCCGCTTTTCTGCACCATTCCGCACCTTTGGGCTCCGGCCTGCCTTGACCGTCCGGCCAGAGTTATAATAGACGGCTGTTGGCACTCTGTTCTGTCCCGGCGGGTCTAAGCCATATTTGCTATGCCCAAACTATCTCGAGCCGTGCAGCTCGTTATGCAATGCGTGGCAATGTTCCATGCTCATGCTGCACTGCAGGCCGTCACCAGAAGCCATTAGAGGCCATAACTCATTGAACACAGTGCTCCATGCGGCTTGAGGAGCCTCTAGCTCGCCCTCAACGAGCTCTAGCGTTTCCTCTGAGTTTTACAGCTTAATAGTTCCCCTTGGCTTCCATCAAATCGCAAATCAAATGGCGTTTCTGCCTGGTGATGATGTTGATGACGGAGGTGATGATGATGACGACGATGGCGAGAGACGACGACTCCAACGATAATGATGATCGTTGTGAGGATTCTGCTTATGAAGATGAAGGCGATGAGTATGGAAATTGTTGGCAGCTGCTTCCGCCTTTGATCTTGAATGATAGATAAAAAATCGGAAGGGAACGAACGGAGCCTGGCAGCCTCAGGACGGCTTGGATCTTAGGAGATTTCGCTATTCGGTTGCTTATGCTCAACCGCGCATGCTCTTCATGACTGGCTTCTACACCCTGCACGGAAAGATCCAGGCCGGTTTCTCCCCAGTCGACTCTGGCACACTTTGGACCACACTCGAAAAGAAGGTGTGGGGATTGCCGCAGCCAGCTGTCCAGGCATGTCTCCTTCGAACCGGTTCGGCCCGACAACGAGCTTAATGAAATCGATATTGAAATTGTTGGTAGCAAGTAGCCGCAGTACTGTAGCAAGAGGAAGGCACAGTTGTACCCGTGGTGCCGTCGAGGTGTTGGTAGCAATAGCAGCAAAAAGCAGCAAGCAGCAAGTAGCAAGCAGCAAGCAGCAGGCAGCAGGCAGCAGGCACCAGGCAACCAGGCCAGGGAGCCAGGCAGCCAGCAGCAGGCAGCAGCCAGCAGTCAGCAGTCAGCCAGCAGCAGCAGGAGTAGTAGTAATAGTAGTAGAAGAAGAAGAAGAAGTAGTGGTAGTACAGTAGTAGTAGTAGTAGTAGTAGTAGTAGTAGTAGTAGTAGTAGTAGTAGTAGTAGTAGTAGTAGTAGTAGTATTAGCAGTAGTAGTAGTAGTAGTAGTAGTAGTAGTAGTAGTAGTAGTAGTAGTAGTAGTAGTAGTAGTAGTAGTAGTAGTGGCGTAGTAGTAGTAGCAGCAGCAGCAGCACTAGTAGTAGTAGTAGTAGTAGTAGTAGTAGTAGTAGTAGCAGCAGCAGCAGCAGCCGCAGCAGCAGCCGCAGCCGTAGCAGCAGCAGTAGTAGTCGGTGCGATGACTCTGGCGGTGCAAGCGGGTGGCGATGGCGGTGGCGGTGGAGATAACTGTGGCAGTGGTCGTCGTAGTCGTCGTCGCTGTGGTGGCAACCGTAGCCATTACCGGTATAGCCGTAGTCGCAGTCGTCCTAGCAGCAGTCGTGGCAGCAGCAGTAGAAGTCGAAGTGCCATCAGCAGTCGCAGTAGCAGCAGTAGCAGCAGTAGCAGCAGCAGTAGCAGCAGTAGTCGTAGCACCGGTACGTAGTAGCAGCAGTAGCGGTTTTTCAGCAGTAGCAGTATGTAGCAGCAGTAGCAGTAGCATAGCATCAGCAGCAGCAGCAGGAGTCGCAGTAGCAGCAATATTTCGGAGGTAGTAGCAGCAGCAGTAGCCGCAGCAGTAGCAGCAGCCGCAGGGGAAGCACAACAAGAAGCAGGAAGACAACATTGACACAACTTGAGTTTCATCATGCAACGGAGGCGACATGCGACCCTGGACATGTCAGGACAGGGAAGCCTGACGCAGAGAAGTGGCTTGGCCAGCCCAGGATTCAAGTTCTTGCGCCGCCCCCATGAAGCTTGAGGGGGCTCATGTGACTTGCGGTGGCGCCCCCTTGTGCCCTGCACTTACACCGCGCTTGAGATATTCGCCCTTGGCGGTTGAAGCGCTCTGTAAACTTCTGCCGTGGCTCCTTGAAGCCTGAAAAAGGCAAGATGATCCTTTCAGACTCAATGTACCTTTATCGCCAGCCGAAGCCTGTGCGAGGTGTAGATCGGCACCGCAACTTTCGGCCTGCCCTGCCCACATGCCTCCTACTTTTTCAATCGTCAGGCTTCAACCCAAAAGGCGTTCCTTAATCATCCCTGATGCCAGCCATGTAGATGAGACGTTTTCAGCGAATCAAGGAGTTCATGCAGACTGCAGCTATGCCTGTACAGTTTCGCACGAGCCTCTGACGGATCAAAGAAGGCCTAGCTTGGACCGTAGGAATGTCTCTTGTGTTACAGAGCACAAGACAAGAGGACTAAAATAGAGCTTTCTCTGTTACCTTTGCTAGCAGGTCGGTATCCGCCAGAGGTTGCTAATCTCGTCCCATGGACCGGATGGCTCCGAGTCGAAAAAGGCTCATTGGAGGGCTTTTGGGTTTCGATGGCCGGGAGGCTGGGGATGTCAAGGGCTCCCGGGTTCGCAGCGTGCATCTGCGTTTGGAGGGGTCGGCTGACGGAGGATCCCAGGAGACGTGCCTGCAACATTTCATGCTCAGCTTCGACATGCAACGAGTGAACTCTGAATCATCAACCCGACAGCTTCTACTATCCCGTCCCCAAGACCCCTCAAAATGCTAAGCTTTCGCGAATCCGGAGTTACGAGTGGCAAGAACAGCCCAAAACTGCAAACCCGAAAACAGCGCCACTGAGCCAGCCCCGACTGTGTAGATACATGCGCAGGAGCACGATAGCGAAAACCAGCAACCTGAGTTCCCGTTGCGAGAGTCATTGAGCCCCAAACCCGACACCCGACCTCATGAAGCCATTCTTGGCGTGAGCGGCGCGCGAGTCGAAATCCTAAACCCTAAAAACCCCCAAACCCGAAATCCTAAACCATAAACCACCCAAAACAAGGACCTGAGAGCCCCGATGCTTTTCTGCCAATGGCCGGAGTTTTCGCAGCCCTCGGCCGCCTAGGCGACGGCAGCGCCAGCTTCTGCGTTTTTTTTTGTCTCCGGTGTTTCAGGGTTCGATCAGTTTAGAGTTTGGGGTTGCGTGGGTTCACGAACAAGGCATCTGAAGCTATCATGTCGCCGGAGGATAGCACATTCACCGAGCATGGCCGCAAATAGGGGTAAGATTGGTGACTCTACTGCGGCAGAAGCGATTTTCTCCCGTGTGCTTGTTTGGTCGAGGGCAGTCCCTGCTCGGAACCACACCGCCGGAGTCCCGGACTGCATGCTTTGGGGCTGCTGCGCGGGTCTCCGAGCTTTTCGGCAACCAAACGCGTCGACGCGGATCCCGCTCAGGCTACAGCAAGCACAGCGGCACCTCGCTTCGGACGAGGACCGATCGGTCGGCCCTCATTGGTATAGCAAGGCTTACGTCGACCGCCGGCTGAAGGACCGTAGATACTCCTTCATACCAGACCATCTGCAAACAAGGCTTCAAGCCTGGAGTCTCGCACCAGGCTGCCTTCGCATGGCGCGCCTGCGAAGACCTGAAGTTCCAGGCAAGTGCAGAGGCGGAGCGCCTTTTGCCAAGCTCGGACTTACCTGTACGGGGGGGCTCGTCTCAAGATGTCTCAAGGTAGTTCCAACACGACTGCATTGTTCATATTGTTCGGAGCTTCCAGAAAAGGTTTCGGAGAAGCTAGCAGGACCTGGCCACGGCCGGAGTTGCGGCAGCTGCCGTCGGGCGTCTCGAGGAGGCTCCCTCGTGACGTGGGGAGGTGAGAGGTCGAGCGAAGCTGCCTTTGCAGGCGGTGGACATCCTGAGACGTGCTGCCCGGCTGCATTGCTGCGTCTCGGAAGAGACCACGTCCGTGCTTTCGCAGTGCTTTCTCTGCATGCGCCGCAGGCAGCAGCAACAGATGGGCCCCGGCCGGAGGACTGTCACGAAGCGGGACGTGCGTTGCAGTGCGGCTCTTTGTGCACAGCCGGCAGAGTTATAAGAGTCTGGAATTCCAGCTGGAACGGAAGGAACTCTGGACTTTTGCTCTCACGATCCTACACGAACCGAAGCCAGCTCATCGGATGGATGTCCTTGTGATAGCCATCGCCGATGAACGATCGAACTGCGAAGCCCTGGGCCCACTGGGCCGGTGTAGTCTGCGCAAAAGCGCCGAACCCGCAGAGGAGAGGGCCGCCTGCGAGGCCCTAAAGGACCGTGCCGAGGCGGGAGGGGACCTTTCCAAAGAGTCAAGTGCGAAATCTCTTCGGTGTTGTCATGAACCCTATCAGCCTAGCGGATTCGCTGCCTAGCACCTGGATCAGCTGCTTGGTGCCTGGAAGAAAGCAAAGCAGTGCCAAGGCGCTGCTGGCACAGAGCAGAGGCGAGCGCGGGCTGCTTTGCGGGCCGCTGCTCCGCTCAAGATATACTTACAACAACAACAACAATAACAATAACAATAACAATAACAATAATAATAATAATAACAATAATAACAATAATAACAATAATAATAATAACAATAACAATAACAATAACAATAATAATAATAATAATAATAATAATAATAATAATAATAATAATAATAATAGTAATAATAATAATAATATCAATAATAATAATACTAATACTAATACTAATACTAATACTAATAATAATAATAATAGTAATAATAGTAATAATAATAATAATAAGAAGAAGCAGAAGAAGCAGAAGCAGAAGCAGAAGCAGAAGCAGAAGCAGAAGCAGAAGCAGAAGCAGAAGCAGAAGCAGAAGCAGAAGCAGAAGCAGAAGCAGAAGCAGAAGCAGAAGCAGAAGAAGAAAAAAAACAAAAGTAATAAAACATTATTAATGACAATAATGAGAATAGCAATAAACATAACAAAAAGAATACCATAATACAAATATTAACACGAATATTAAGGGGAAAATAATAAAGAACAGAAACAATAATAATAACAACAATGATAATGTGGCTGCAGCACAGCTATCAGGGCTGCAATTGGGGTACTTGAAGTCCGAGGGTACAGTGCTCGAAGCAAGCAAGCGTTCAGAGGTTATGCGGTTCCGGGGACGTAGGGATCGCTGAGCTTCAGTGGCTGACTCTCAGAGCCCCGCTGCAAAACGGGTTGTGGTTATCTGGGTTTGCTTTGCCGTGGTGGGAGGTCTCATGGTCGGGGCTTAGCTGTTGCCCACCCGAAGGGTGACCGCAAACTTGAAAGTCCCAAAACCCATACCAACTTTGGAACCAGGTGAAGCTCCCAAGGAAAACGCCCACAGTGCCTTACCAAGACCCCAGCTTTGAGCTGAGGTTCTGGCGACCAGAGCCCCCCCCGCCGCTCCCTTTGCCCTCGACCTGGGAGTCCTGGGCCACCGCCATGCCTCGAGCCGGAAACCTACCACAGGGGCTTTAGTTTGTGGTTAGAGGGTGCTTGGGATTACACAGGTTGGACTCCTTTTAAAGCAGGGCCGTGATAATGAGCTGAAGGTTTCATGTTAGGTTTTTGTTGGATTTTCTCAGAAGGTTCTTGTCGGGATTGCCACGAGGGTTACGACTCAAGGATCTTCAGGTTTTCAGCGCTCTTTACGTCAGCGGGCTTTCAAACCTTCCAGGATTTTGGACCCCGGATATGAGAAGTATCATTCTGGCATCTTTTGCGGAAGTGGGCTGGCCTTTTTCGCAGTCTGTGTGGTCGTGTATGCACTGCAGGCGATAAGCCGTGTCCTGCGATAATGCTCCAGATTGTTTCGCTGCAGCTCTGTGGACGGATCAAATCGCCAGCTCCGTAAGCCATGCCCACCTATACAGTATTACTCCTTGCCTTAGACTACCCCTATTGTACCTCCTGTATTGACCCTTAGAGCAATCCCGATAGTGTTGAGGTTCCCTTCCGAAGTCACAGCAGTCTCCAGAAACTTGTCGAGCTTCAGCGCCAGGTTGCCGAGTTTGCCGGCCCGGTGGAAGTGTGGCGGGCCCAGACTGGTCGTGAAGACACGCAGAGCAGCTCGTCTCAGTGCGAGAGTAGCCTGTGACAAACTGGGTGAGCAAGAAAGAGGGACCCAAAACCGAGATTGAGGCGAACTCAGCAATGTGATCTCCGGTCGTTTTCGCACGGATGATGAGTTTCGAGACACGGGAATGGGTCAACGTGTTTCAGTTTTTCATGTTGTTGTCCATCCTGACTGTCGGTGCTTGGAAACAGACATGGCAGCATTGATCGATTGGCCGATGTCGCCCTGTCGCCGCATTTGCCTGGATCATCGCACAGATGCTTGGCGGTTCAGGCGAGTAGGTCAGGCACAGCTCAAGCAATCAACGACCAGGGCCGACCTCCAATTGTTTTTGCCCGCCCCGGCAATGCAGGAGTGCCCTTTCGGTAATTGGCCGATGCAGTTTTGCCCTGTGTCAGAGTGTCCCAGTGTAGAGCAGTATGAATGTCTGAAGTGCAAGTGAAGCGAGAGTTGTGGTTGTGAGCTGCTCAAGACGTAGAGCTGATGCCAGAGACGAGCCTGAGCATGCCAATACCAGAGTGCGCACTGACAGCCAAAGAACGTCAGCAGGGTTTGACCCCTATGACTATATTTTTGTTATTTGGAGTCGTTGTCGTTATCGAGCAGCAGGCAGAGGAGTACTGAGAACCAGCAGCTATTGGCATTTGTGCTGGCATTGGGCCTTAGCATCCCTACCAGTCCGCACTCCTGATTCCTGGAGTTGCTGCTCTATAGCACCAACAGCAACACTTGTAGAGATTTCCAGTCAGCACTATCACCTTTGTGACAACGAGAATCTAGTCCCTGTCGGAGCGGCGGCAATGCCTCCAGCTGCGAATAGGGACGAAGGAGGCTGGGAGACTCACTTACTGAATTTTGGTGGTGCTTTCTTGCACAGTGTTGACCTTGTTACCCTTGTTTGAATTGGACATGTACTGCTGTTTATACGAGTCATGGTTTTGGCATTTTTGTTGGGATGTTCAACCTTGGCCCATACTCATACTCTCAACCGGATTATTCTAGAAATTTGCATTGGCATGGTGAACGCTGTTGATATGATCTTTATTGCTAGTTTTTGCTTGCAAGTTGCTCGCCCGAGCAAGTTCATATGATGACAGCCTTGCTATTCGCATGGTAATTGTCTGTTAAAGACGAGTGAAAGCCCTCGCTACATTGCTACCGGTGCTTCTGTGCAGAGCCTGGTTTGCATAATGATAACCCTGCATACAAGCAGGGAGTTATGATAACTGCCACTGTGCCGTCGCGCCTCCGTGGGAAGATCATTCTCGAATGTTCTATGACGTCTATATAAGAGTGGCGAGGTCAAGATTCATTGCGGGTTATGCGCACAGTTCGTCGAGAGTTTTGGGATTTGTCAAAACAGCTCTTTCTGTTGCCTTCAAGTGCATACGTGCATCTTCTTTGTGTCAAGTACTTATCGTGGGATCCACGAGCCCTTCTTGTTGATGTCAGGTGTGAAGCATCCCGGGGATGTCAGTGGAGCCATGTTCCCAGTCAGAGTCATCGCAGCAGCTCCTGCATGATAATCGGCCTGAACTATGAGTCTCTTCTCGGCCAAGGTGCTACTCAGAGCTTTCGAAGACTGGACCAAGGCAGCTGCCAATGTCAGCACAGTTTCACGACGAGGGCATGCAGCTCCACTTGATTACAGCCTGTTTCACAAGTTCGGGCAGGAGCATGGTGCTCTTCGTCCTGCTGACATCGGTCGTTTGACACCTGTCATGCACTGGATCCGGTCTTGCGCAGTCTGTTCGTCGGACCCGTAGAGCTCTTTTCAGGAAAGCTTGTGCATCGCCTTCCGCCGATACGTGTCTTCGTTTTTGCTGCACTGCATGGAGATCAAAGCAGAAGTGGAGCTGACAGCCTTCGGCTTCCACTGTAGCATTGAAGAGAGGCTTCGAGCCGAAATCACAGCCTCTACGATGCTGAGGGAGGCAGGTGAAGTGACGCAGGAGATGAAGAGGAGGAGACGTGGCCCACGAGACATGGGGTTGTCTGTTACGGAGTGCTCCTGAAACAGCGAGCGATGAACTTTGAATGTTGATGCTATGCTTGCGAGATCCACCGTCGCATCGGGTGCACATGTTCTCCACGTCATGAGTGCGACCGACGACAACATTCTGAGAGCAAAAACCTAAAGCTGAGCTGCTGTTTGACGCTTGATCTAGCATCAAAAGCTCATCACATGTCACACTGTTGAACAGTTTCACCATGCACATAGATGCACATCGACGGCTGTTGTCCGAGTAGTTTTCTGGATGCATGGAGCGGGAGCACTCGTTTCCCCTTCAGCTCATGCCCACGTGACGCCCAGGATGCGCCAGCAAGGCTATGCCCCAACACAAGCCGAGCTGGCACGATACGCCCAGGCGCCTGGTGCACGAAGGGGCATGCTGCCGATGAAGTTGGAATGGGGCAAGGGGCTATTTCTACGGTAATTGCGGCAATGCTAAGCTTCGCTGAGGCTCTGTCCGCCAAAACGGTAGATCCCTGGTTGCCTTCTAGCCTGCTTGCTGGACAGCCATGTCCTGCAAGGAGCTTGCGTGTAACCTCTCGTTGATTGTTTCTGGTGTGAGAACCATGAACCTGAAGCCGCGCTAGAAGGCCGCAGAGATGGGCGCCAGCGCGACCGACTTTGCGGCCTGGTGCCGGGAGACGGGGTACAAGGCCACCTCAGGGCATCGTGTTCTCAGGATCTCTGGTTAGGTCATGTTTGCTTCATTGACGGTGCAACTATCAGTAACTATCATCCGAAATTGTGCATGTTGGTACATGAGTGATGATAACGATTGTTGCTGTTAGACCTCTTGCTATTGTCATGACTCATGACTGCCCTGCCTTTTGCCAGACGACAACCGCTGATTTCCCTTCGTTTTATGGTCATGGAAACGAAATATAGAAGCAGTGGCAAGAAGCACCGCAAGGACTGGGAATGTCAGTCGTCAGCGTGACGTCAACATGATAACGGTGGGGCTGGTTGTCGCGGCTGTC